CTGGCACAGGCAGAGACGTTTGCAAACTCCGCCCATTTCAAACCCTTCCGGAGGGTTTCAAAGTTCCAGTGCAGGGGCCGGCAGGTGGCGTGGGGAGTTAAGGAGCTGGACTCCCACATGGGTGACCTCGGTTCGAGTCTCAAACTTGGCAGTTTGCTTACTCACTTCCCCTCTCTGCCTTGGCAAATTAATAATTAAAAAAAACAGTAACAAAAAACAATAACACATAGTCCGGAGAGCACATGCCCCCTATAGGGCCAAAACCTCTAAAACAACGAAACAAAGACCTGAATTGTACCCCAGGTTTCATTTATTTTAATTTGACCAGAGAGAGGGAAAGTGAGAAAGCAAGCTTCCAGGTTCCAGCCTTGAACCACAGTCAGCTATGTGGAAGTCCGGCAGCGTTAACCACGCCACCTGCCAGTCCTTGCATCCCAGATTTTCTAGGGCAGAGTCTGGACCCCCTTGCTCCAGCCCTGGTGGAACTGGGCAGTCCTGTTTGCTGCCCTCTAAGGAGAACCAGGTTGTACACAGATGGGACAGGTCATTAATAGTGGCCTGGGGAGGGACCAGCGAATGGCATAATGGTTAAGTCGCTGGACTCTGCAGCGGATTGCGGTTCCAGTCCCGGATCTGGTGACTTAAAACTCATGCAGGGCGTGTATGCCCAAAATCCCGAGGAGAATGGAAAAAGAACTGTGCCCTCGCCATCTCCCCTGGGGGCGGGGGTGTGTATGTGATTTCTCACTTTCCCTGTCTCTGGCAAGTGCACATGCTTTATGGCAAAAAATAAAATAGAATATAAAAAATGTTTTAAAAAAGGTGTCTCTAGGGTATTGTTTCTTCTAGAATGATTCAATAGTTCTGACATTTAAATTTTTTTAGAAGAATTATTCATTTTATGATATTTTTCAATTTGATGAGACAGAGAAAGTGAGAAAGCAAGCCTGCAGGTCCAGGCCTCCAAGCATGGTTGGTCATGTGGGAGTTCAGTGTCCCGACCACTCCACCTGCTGGCCCGTTTTTTGGGAGGAGAGGGCATAGGGTGCATGCTCCCACTAGAAGGAGGCAAAGTGAGAACTCATCCCCTGGGTGGATGGTCATGCTGCAGTTCCTTGTCCTCTGTTCTCTTCTCAGGATTTTGGTCATGCACACACACATGTGAATTTCAAGCTGTCAAGTCTAGGACTCAGACTGTGGTTGACAATGTGGGAATCTAGCACCTTAACCACCACGCCACCTGCTGGCCTCTCAAGAAACGACTAATTCAGCAGAATCCTGACAGTAGAAGCCGTTGGAAGTTCTATACACATGGATGGGTATTATTTTCTGAGGTTTTATCTCAGGAAAATTCGTACCTCTCACTATACACACAAATAGGCATGGGGATAGAGTCCAGGTGAAGTCCGAGAATGGGCTGCGAGCTGGGGGGCAGGGGGGGAGGGACCTAGCTGAGAAGGTGTCAGTGTGAGGCCTTTAGGGAAGTCCACGGGGGCCCCAACCCCTCACGTCATCCACTTGAAGGTCCCCAAATGTTCATCAGGAGGGTTATATACAAACAGAAACAGAAAAGGAGTTAAGTCAGACTGGGGGGCCGGTAGGTGACATGGTGGTTAAAGGTGCTGGATTCTTACACGGTGGACTGTGGTTTGAGTCCTCGACCTGGCTGCCTGGTTCTTCCTTTCCCTTTCTCTCTCTCTGGTCAAATTAAAAAATAAATAGAAATAAATAAATCTTTTTTTTTTTTAAGAATGATTTTCATTTAACTTTATTATTTTCCAGACTGAGAGGGAAAGTAAGTAAGCAAGCCACCAAGTCCAAAATTTGAATCAGTTAGCCATGTGGGAGTCCAACGCCTTTAACCACCACACCACCTGCTGGCCCCAAATAAAGCCAGGGGCCCCGGATGGTGTGGTGGTTACGGGTGCTAGACTGCCACATGGTCAACTATAGTTCGAGTCTTGGACCTGGTGACTTGCTTTATTTTCCCTCTTTCTCTCTCACTCTGGTCAAATTAAAATAATTAATAAAGTTAAATAAAATAATTAAAAAAATAAGAAAGACAGACTGGGCCAGTCTCGTGGCCTAGTGATTAAGGGACTCCCATGTAGTTCAAGTCTCAGATCCAGCGACCTGAAACTCAGGCTAAGCACATGTGCGTGCATGCCCAAGATCCTGAGAGGAGAATGTAGGAGAAAGGAGTGTGGCATGGCAATTTGCCCTGGGGGGCGTGAGTTCTAGCCTTCTGTCTGTCTCTGTCTCTCTGGCAAGCTCCAATGCCCTATAGCAAAGATCCCTTGGGGGGAAAAATTATGCTGGGCACAGGTGCATGCAAATCCTGACAGTGCAATGGAGAAGAGACCATGCCCCGTCGTGTGGGGGGCTTTCTTCCTCTCCCTTGCTGTCTCATTTATGTGCCTGCTGGCAATTAAAAACAAAAGCAAAATCAAAAACCGCTGGGCAGGTGATGTGTTCTGACCTGGGCTGGGGCTGCTCACGCCATGACTCCTGCTCGGAACTGTTCAGCTCTGGTCGGTGAGCAGTTAGACGACTTCAGAGCCGGGGGCCTAGGAGGGTGACCCCAGTTCTCTGTGGTGGCACGAGCACGGGAAATACAACCCCGCTCAGGAGCCCCGCGTCCTGTCTAGCAGCCACTGTGCTCAGACACTGGGAGCCAGGTCCACATGTTCCCCGCTGGGCGCCCAAGTTGGGAAAGTGCCGATGCAGACCCCGCTCTAGCTCCTGGTCGGGAGTGGCCGGGCTGAGAGCACAGGGGTCACCAAGGCCTGACTGCTCAGGAGGCTGGTAGGGGCTGACTGAGGAGACACTGAAACACCGACGCTGCCGCCACCACCGGCTGATGCAAGTTTTATTGAGACAATGTACAAACAGGCCATGGAAACAAGGGTTTTGATGCTGGGACCAGTAACGTAAAATGGAATACAAAAATAAAAAGGCACTAATCTGTTAAGAAAAGACACTCGATGTATTCTAAGAATATAAGTCATTTAATACTGTTAATTTTATAGCACAAAATAAAACAAGCTATGATCCCCAAAAATAATTTTAAAAGCTTACACAGAAAATATTATTGCCTGAAGTTTATGATCTTTAAGTTACAGGTCAAAAGAGTTTTATGTTGTTGTTGTTGTCGTTTTAAAACACACAGTGAAGACCGTCTAGAAGCAAGGCCACTGTTTCTCCTGCGGGGACAACAATCCTGTCTCAGAGAACTGTCCTTCGACTCCTTTAGAATATACAGCTAGCTCAGTGTCCACTCTGACAGCAGTTACAGGGACGTCGTTCTCCGGTCCCAGAGGTGGAGACTGAGGCAGAGCTCAGTGGTATCCACAGAAAGCATTAGTCTTAGGTACTGTGTTAAAACACTCACTCACTCACTTCAAGAGGTTAATGAACATAAGATTAAAGGATTAAATTATAAACACCTGGCACAAAAATCGCATCATCCCTTTTCAAAAATAAAATGTTCATATTCCTCTGAGCAAACATTACAAGAGCAGGGGCCGTCGTCCCGGGCCCGTCTTGTCTGTAAACAGCTGTAAAGGAAAGAAAGCTAGCACAGTGCCAGGGACGCGTGAGCTCCAGGAGGCCGGCCGTCCTTCCCTCCTTTCAGTTTGTGACCACGCGCACAGAAGGTGTCCGGTCTGGGTGACCAATGTTGTCAAGCGGCAGCCGGTCAGGGCGTCCACCTCCGCGTTACCCATACTGTCAGGTGGTATCACTCAGCACAGAATGACAAGGACCACTCCTGTACACAAGGTTTTCAGTCCAACTGTCAATGCCCTCTAGGAAGTGATTTGTGTCCTTACCAGGTAAAAAACCATAGTGAGTTAATTTAGCATCCAAATATTTTTTTTTCAACCCAGTAGAACAGAGCAAATACCAGGAAGGAACAATCACAGGAGAAAACCTACCCTTGGCAATTGGACTCACAGTACTCCTCGAAGCTCAAACGCCTTCCCAGATCAGCGAAGAAACCAGGCACAGAGCTGGGGCAGGTACTGTTTTCATAGATTTCATGTAAAAAAAGAGAATTTCCCCGCCTGATTACAAAACTGGTAAGGTTCTAAGTTAAGTCCAAAAAGTTATGGTTTGGCACGTATCTTGCAAGTCCAGAACTGAAGGTTCACTTTATTTTGAGCTCTGAATCTCCTGATCGGCAGCCCTGGAGATATTTACATGGGCTAAAAAAGTAATGAGCTGAATCCATTCTGAAACCAGGGTAGGCCCGGTTTATAGGGTGTTTGATCCTGAAATGCTTTACACAAAGTGGGTCTTACTACTTACTGATCAGAAGACATGGCTGGAAGGGAACCCTGCTTTTCCGAATGGCCTCCATACTTCTTGTGCTCTGAGCCAAACGCCATCACCGAAAGGCATGAGGCCCATTAGCGACATCTGGTGTAAGGGTCTTAGGGTGTGTGGCTTCTCTGAACCAGGCACGTGGGCCGTGACTTGCCAGACACGCCACTGACGTGTAGGTGCCGACAAGGGTAGGGCTGCTGACCTGGCCAATGGCCAGGAGGCCAGCACTGTTTCTAGGCAGTTCAGGACTGCTCACAAGCTTACCTCTTGTGGGACGGCAGGCTGGGCCTGAACTCAGAAAAAGCCAACTTGACAGACCTAACCAGAAAAGGTGACAGCAATGGATACTGGGAGCAGGCGGCGGTGGTGATTCTCACTGGTCAGGGAGAGCTGAAGTTTATTTATTTATTTATTAATTTTCCAAGAGAATCACAGGTGGGCAGCCATGGTGAGTACTTTCTCAACTGACCAATCATTTTGTCACAGGAACACTCTCAAGACTCTAATATTGTAGTCGACAGCTTGATAGAACACTGCTTTAAAAAATAGAAAGAGAAAGGGAAAGATGGTTGTCTCACTCCTGTCATCAGACTACATTGCTCTGAACCTCGAAGCCTAAGAACCTCCTGAGACAGGGCCACGGCTACAGCACATGCTCAGTGAGTGTCACTCACTCAACTCGGGTTGCTGCTGCATTTCTAGGTCTGCTGTATTCGTTCTGAGGGGCTGTCTTCACTGGAGTCCAGAAGGGAGAGCAGACTGAACTGCCTTACAGTTCCAGGATTCCAGCCTGCTATATGCAGCCAGGGAGGGCTCGGTCAGCACACTTAGAACAGCTGGACTGCATGCACAGGCCTCTCTTAGCTACCAGGGCGATGCTGTGATACCAACAAACTGACAGGCCGGTTAAGGTTTACCCCAGTCACTTCAACACCACACGTTAAATGCATGAACCCATTTCCAGAGCTTGCACCGCCTTTGCTTGGGAGCATCGTGCGCGCTAGACGATGGAACCCGTACCAGCAGCACCATCTTGCTGGGGCAGCTGCGTGAGGTCGGGCCAAGGCAGGGGGCACTGGGTTACAGTGAGTCAGACGTAACGATTCAGTAATGAATCCAATGATTCTATGAACAGCGTTGCTTTTAAAAGGAATTAAAAATTTATCTCAAAAGGGTGCATTCATGAAAACTGGCCTGGGCGCCCCCCCAACTCCTGCCATCGGCAAACAAGGTTAAGCAAAGGTTCCCCCAAAGCGTCTCCACTCCAGTGCTTTCAGGGACAGTAATCCGAGAGGCTGTGCATGCAGCTCGGCACACCACGACTGATTTTCTGTGTGCTGCTGCTGTATGGCAAAGCAAGGTACCACTGGCAACCAGGGCAGCGAAGGCTTCTGCCCCCGGGTGGTTCTTCTTCCCTTCCTTTAGTTACAGCAGCTTCAGTTCAGAAGCTCAGAGGCACATGATCTTCCTTGGACTATCACAAAAATCCAACCCGCTACTTAAAAACCTGTTTCAGAACACACATGTCTAATTGATTAGTCTTCCAAAACCAAACCAAAAAGAAAAGCAGACTTGGGTTTTTTTTAGGACAAAATTCTCTCTTAAGTTCACTTCCTCTGTGGTCCGATAAAAAACAAGATGGCAGCTGAGCCACTGCTTTGTAAAACAGCGACGCACCAAGTCTCACCATGGCCTGAAGCTTTCTCTGATACACAGGACGGAATCGGTCCCAAACACAAACAGGGCAGTGATGAGAAGGAAGACCCTTTCCTTGCCACCTTCTCTCCACTTGTGTGCTTCCACCAGTATTTCCAGTTTATGATCCAAAAGAACTCTAAAATCGGCTACTCTTCAATAATACAACTATGATACAATGCCAGGAGGCAGCCGCTGTGTGCATTCCAAATGTATATGAGAGACCGCCAGTCTGCAGAAAGCTGGACATTGGCGATGCAGTGGAACTTGCCTATGAGAGAGAATGCTTTCCCATTCAAAGGACACTATGACAGGCAGAACGACGAAGCAGCAGAACAGGGCAACAGCAATCACTCGTTTTCATCTGGGTTTTGAGGGTCAAAGATCTTGACGTGTGTAAATGGGAAAAGCCCTTTGCGCCCATTCACCTCGCCTTCCCACTGACCATTTATATTCATCCTTGTGACTTTCACAATGTCACCAACCTGTATGGAGAAAGAAGACAAAGTCAGCATTTTTCTGCAAACAAGACAGTGTGTATTGCATCACAATCATTAGTCTATCTGAATCACAATCATTAGTCTATCCAATGGAATGTGTAAGTTGTTTATTCTAGGACTAATCTTATTTATTTATTTTTTTTCCAGTGCTTAGAACTAAAATCTAAGCAGTGTTAAAGGCACAGACTCCATCTCTATCCACACTTACAGTAGAATTGCTGTGGCCAAGATCTCACGCACCACGCTACCTTCCTGAGCAGCAGCAGCTCCTCGAGTCGCCCACTCCCCAACCCCTTTGGGGGTAGTAGTCAGGAGAAGGGAGTCCAGCTGTGGGCATCTTAAACTGTAGAGTGGGGGCCAGCAGTGGCTCGGTGGTTAAGGACACTGGGCTCCCATATGGCTGATCGTGGTTCAAGTCCCAGACATGGCGGCTTTCTCTCTCTCTCTGTCCCTCTCTGGTCAAATTAATTCTTTAAAACAAAACAAAACAAAAAACCTGTAAGGTAAAGGCCAGAAGGTGGCATTGACATTAAGGTGCTAGATCCCACATGACTGACTGCGTAGTTCAAGTCTTGGATCCCATGGCTTGAAAAACATGCTGGGCACGTGTATATGCCCCAATCCCGAGGACAGAGAAGAGACTGCAATGTGGCTGTCCCCGCTCAGGGATGATTCTCACTTTCTTTCTCTGTTTGTCTCTCTGGCAAGCGCACTTGCCCTATAGTAAACTAAAAACAAAACCAAAAAATACTGTGGGGTGATAAGAATTTTATCTACTGCCAGAGGACAGGTATGGGTTAGCTTCTGGCTTACCTGTTAAAGGCAGACATTTTATTTTGGAAGCGGTTTTCAAACTGGAGACGCTTTAGGATCAATGTATGTCTGACTGGGACTTTTTTTGGGAGGGGAGAGATTTTTGCTATAGGGCACGTGCTCTCACCAGAAAGAGAGAGGGAGACAGAGACACAGAAAACAAGAAATCCCCCCCGAGGGGGGATGGACACGCCACAGTCCTTTCTCAGTCTCCTCTTGGGATCTTGGGTCTGCACACACACACGCCCAACATTGAGTTTAAGCTGCCGGGTCCGGGACTCAATCCACGGTCAACTTATGTGGGAGCCCAGTGACGTAACCATTACTCCACTTGCTGGTCCTTTATTTTTAAAAATATTTATTTATTTAATTCTATTTGTTGTTATTATTTTTTAATTGGACTAGAGAGAGAAAGGGAACGCAAGCAAGTCACCAGGTCCAGGACTCAAACCGTAATCGCTCATGTGGGAATCCGGTGCCTTTAACTGCCACACCACACGCTGGCACCTGGACTTCATTTTTTTTTTTAACTCTATTTTATGAAGTTATGAAATGTGCTATAGCTCCTGACACATTTACACATGCTATCCCAGAAAGCTACTTTTTATGCAGACTTTTCTTGGAATAAAGTGTTTCGGTCATATGTGTGATTAAAGACTATCCCTAAAATAGCACTTGCAGCAAAATAAAGTCAGAAATAAACTGGATGCTGGAACTGACATAAGACCGCACCTATTATCGGTAATGTTATCTTCATCCAGTTTCTCCTGCCCATTGTAACATTTAATTCTTCCTCAAATTGTTTTTTTGTTTTTGGGCCAGAGGATGCATGAGTTTGCCAGAGAGAGCAAGTGCACCCACACAAGAGTGTGTGAGCAATCCCCAACAGGGCAGGGCTGTGCCACGCTGCCTTTTCTTCCACCTTTCCCTCCTGTCGGGACCTGGCCAGCCACACACATGTACCTGGTATGTCCTTCAACACCCAACCATTGCACTACCAGGCTGGCCTGGCCCCCAATTTTTTTTTTTTTTAAATAATTATTTTATGGGACCAGCAGTTGGTGTAATGGCTATGTCACTGGATTTCCATGTAGTCGACCATGGTTTGAGTCCCAGACTTAAACTCACACCGGGTGCATGTGCGTGCATGGCCAAGATCCCAAGAGGAGAATGGAAGAGAAGGAATTGCAGCATGGCCATCCCCCCTCAGGGGTAGGGGGTGATTTCTCACTTTGTCTCTCTGTGTCTTTCTGGTGAGCACAGGCGCCCTATAGCAAAACCTTTCCCCCCCAAAAGAAAAAAAAAGAATTATTTTATTAGGGACCAGCAGTTGGTGTAATGGCTATGTCATTTGACTCCCATGTAGAAGACCGCAGTTCAAGCTACCTGCAATAGCTTAAACTCACACTGAGCGTGTGTGCGTGCGAAAGACAGAGAGAGACAGAGAGAGAGAAAGCAAGAAATCACCTCCCAGGGGAGATGGTCACACCGCAATCCCTTCTCCTCCATTCTCCTCCCAGGATCTTGGGCATGCACGCACACGCGCCCGGTGTGAGTTTAAGCTGCCGGGTCCGGGGCTTGAACCGCGGTCGGCTACATGGGAATCCAGCAATATAGCCATTACACTAATTGCTGGTCCCAATAAATGGTGACATTCTTAAAAACAAAAAAAAAAAACATAACTTTTTTGGTTTGAGAGATTTTTGCTATAGGGTACGTGTACTCACCGGAGAGGAGAAAGAGACAGAGAGAGACAGAAAGTGAGAAGTCACCCCCTCAGGGGGATAGCCAAAATCCCTTTTCTCGGGATCTTGGGCACGCATGTAGATATGCTTGGTGTGAGTTTTAAGACGCCAGGTCCGGGACTCAAACTGCAGTTGACTATATGGGAGTCCAGCGACATAGACATTACACCAACTGGGGGTCCCATGTATGATTTCACTTATATGAGGTACCTCGAATATGCAAATTCATAGACCTAAGGTAGATTAGAGGTTGCCAGGTCTGGGAAAAGGGAGACTGGGGAGCTATTGCTAAATGGTTATAGACTTTGTTTGATGCCATGAAAGTTTTGGAAAAAGTGGTAATGGTTATACAACACTGTTAGTATAATTAATGCTACTAAATTGTATTTCTTAAAATGGCTGAAATAGCAAATTTGTTATTTTCATTTATGTATATACAGTTCACCAACCTTCCCATTATGTAATATGCCAAAGACCACTGAACTGTATTTTTTAAGTGAGTAAATTATGCGACGTGAATTACATCTCAATAAATTACAACTGAGGTCAGCACAATGACCAGGCTGGGAGAGGCTTTGCCTGGACCACACTCCCAATTTCATGGAGTATTACCCAATTTATACATTTTAAAATAATAATAACCCTTGGAATACTTTTCTGATTCACCATTCAGAATATGATTCACTAGGGGGGAAAAGGTTATTAAAATTATGACATTCTAAAATTCTAAAGGATTTTCTAAAGATTCCTACTTTTTTTTTTTTGAGAGATTTTCACTGTAGGGCGCGTGCGCTCGCCAGACAGACAGAGAGAGACATAGAGACAGAAAGCAAGAAATCACCCCCCAGGGGGGATGGTCACGCCGCAATTCCTTCTCCTCCATTCTCCTCTCAGGATCTTGGGCACGCACGCACACGCGCCCGGCATGAGTTTTAAGCCACCGGGTCCGGGACACGAACCGTGGTCGACTACGTGGGAGTCCAGCGACATAGCCATTATGCTAACTGCTGGTTCCCCCTACTTTTTTTTTTTAAAGAGAGATTTTTGCTATAGGGTGTGTGCACTTGCCAGAGACATGGAGAGACAGAAAGCAATAAATCACCTCCCCCAGGGGGGATGGCCCCCCTGCAATCCCTTCTTCTCCATTCCTCTCAGAATTTTTAGTCATGCATGCACACCGGCTCAGCGTCCAACATGTTTCAAGCCACCAGGTCCATGTGGTTGGCCATGTACAAGTCCAGTGCCCTAACCACTATACCACCTGCTGGCCCCAAAGATTCCTACTTTTGATATGGTATTATTAAGGGAAAAAAAGCACTTGTACTGGGAAAAAAAAGAAAAAAAAAGGAAAGCAAATAAAATTCCTAAAACTAGACCCTGTGAGAAGGGCAAATGACCCAATGTCAAAAACAGGAGGAAGAGGAGAAGCCTGGTCAATCCCGATGGAGGAGGGCTGGAAATGACTGGTCAGGCCTGGACGCTGACATGGCTAGAACATGAGGCTCTTACTTAGAAAGGTAAATGCTAGCTCCAGAGCTTCTCTGACACGCCTTGAAGGATTCCCAATTACTGGAACACAGTGGGAGGTCAAGGAGGGCAGCCCCATTACATCAGTCGGTTGTGACATGCCAGAGGGGCAATGCCAGGTGCTTCATGAGGTATATACACAAACTCGGTATCACTGAGGGCATGAAATGCAGATCCCTCAGCCAGAGGAATTCACAGTGATCTGAGATGGAAAATACAATGAACAAATTGAGATCTACTTTGGAATTTTCATTTAGGCAAGTATAAGCAGCAATGAAGAAACTGCTAATGTGAACTAATTCTAACCAATAAAGCAAAACCAACTGGTGAAGTGGAAATCCAAGAATTCCCGACCAGTCAGTAAAGAAAGTTGTACCACGGTCCTTGGAAAGTCAGTTTAGAACACTTGGAGACGGGCCAGCAGGTGTAGTGATTGTGGCGCTGGACTCCCACCGGCCAGTCACGGTTCAAGTCCTGGACACAGTGCCTTGATGTGTGTGTGTGTGTGCGTGTGTGCATATGTGTGTGTTGTGTGCGTGTGTGCATGTCCAAAATCCTGAGAGGGGAATGGAGAAAAAGGGACTGTGGTGTGGGCCCCCCACCCCAGGGTGTCATTTCTCACTTTTTCTCTCTCTGTCTCTGGGGAAGATACCCTACAGCAAAAATCTCTAATAATAATTAAAAAAAAAAAAAATTCAGAGACCTCGGGGGCCAGCAGGTGGCATGGTGGTTAAGACACTGGACTCCCATGTGGCTGACTGAGTCCCTGACCTGGCAGCTTGACACTCATGTTGGGCACGTGTGTGTGTATGTGCACCACAAATCCCGAGAAAATAGAGAAGGGACTGCAGTGTGACCATCCCCTGGGCGGTGATTTCTCACTTCCTGTCTCTCTGGTGA